CATCCATTGCTCACCTCTGTGGACCTCCTCTTGACTTCAAAGGGAGGATTTTTGGTGAGGGATGTCTGCAGAGCAGACCGTCGTGTCAAGCAGCCATGTCAGGTGCTGTGGCTTATGATCTTAATTATGATCTGCTACATGTGAAATTAGGAACATGAGCGACTTGAAAGTAACCATTCATTTAGAGTACAAAATAAAAAGCCCAGTGTGATGTTCCTAGACCAGAAAACATTACTTCTTGTGGCCACTTCTTTTAGGAAGTGGGAAATAACCCAAGATGGCCAGACGAATCCATGAGTCTTGTTTTTTAAGACTGATGAAGGTTTCTGGGTAGCTCCTCCCTGAAAAGTCAGGAGTGGCTCTTCGTACTGAACTCAGGTGCACTCCTTCCTGCTCCTTGCCTTCCAGCAAGACCTAGCTGAAGGAGAAAAAAAAAAGAAAAAAAAAAAGAAAAAAAAAAAAAGAAAAAAAAAAGTAAAGAAAAATCAGATAAAAATAAGGACAGAAACAGCAGAAATATTGGGATGATTGTAATCTACCTCCTGTAATTTTGCAGCCCTGCTAAAAATGCAGTCAGCTGGCAAATGACCTAATTTACCAACACCCAGGCTTAGCTCCGTGGTAGCACCTAATAAAAGGCAGGCTGCAGCAGTCACCTTGGAGAGGCTTGGTTGGGGCTTGGAGCTGTGTGTCCCTAAGCATGCCTCCGAGCTGGAGCAGCCCGCGGGGCTGCCTCTCTGAAGCCTGTGGGATATATTTTCTGTAAATAAAATGCTGTTTAATAAGTATTCTCTGTGCATTTTGTTATTAGCTTGGTGCTATAGAGCCACACAGACCCAACCTTGATTTATAAAGCTGTTAAAATGTTTGACCTTGTTTAAATAAAAGCCTCAAGGTTAATTACAACAAGCATTCTATAGACACCCTCCCTTTTTCAGTTGCCCTAATGATTTGTGGGAGGACAGGGTAATAAATTCTCATCTTTTAAAAGTGACTGCAGTGCAAAATTGTGAGAGTTTGCTTTTCTGCCGTTTTCATGTTTTACTGCACTTTGATACGTGATATATTGAGCGATGAGCTGTCTCTTCCTAGGCAGAACTAGAAATGTGACATTTTTACCTAAAGTGTCACAAGAAGCAAGTGAGAATGGGGAAAAAAAAAAGAAATTGTTGGGAATAAAGAGTTGGATCTTTGCTCCTGGATATAGGATGTATTCATAATGAGGTAAACAAAGGGAATCTTGGTTTGTTTTTTCTTTTTTTTTTTTTTCCTTATTGCACTGAAAACAAATTTCACAAAATAAAAACCAATTTAAGTTTCTTTTAAAAGAACTGGGAAATATTGAGGAAAGTTAATTGAAGCACATTCAAATTACAATAAACACATACAGGCACAATTATCTTCTTTTGACTAGTGTGTGGCTTAGAGATGTTTTTATCTTTTGTTTATTGCACTATTAAAAATATGGAGAGGCACCAAGAAAGGGTAGATAGCCACCATATGGAATTACATATTTTCCCTATTTATATTTAAATAACTATCCATGAGAAATTATGCACAAATCATGCAATAATTCCCAACCAAAATGACTGTTTAGAAAATAAAAATTCTGAGGCACAATATTCTTTTCATATTAAATTGCCCATTTTCTGTACATCATATACTTTTGTACAATACCAAAAAAAAATGCTGCATTACAGCCCAATACAATTTGTTCTCAATGCTAATGAAGATGGATAGAGGACATTGTAATATACTGTAGTAATTCATAAGCAGTGTGGGAAAACAAGACAAACAGGCTCAGAAAGCTGGAGCATAATTTTTTGTTCCCATTTTCAGAGTGAATAGTGGTAATTTTAATAACCTGCTGGTTTGACAGATTTAATGATGTCGATTAACTTTTATTGCTTGATTCATGCCACGCTCACATTTGGGGTGAATATTTGTGCTTGCAAAGTTTGAGTGGCTGGTCTGAGGCAGCTAAAGAGAAGCTCCCAACACCCCGTGGAGAACTTGGCAAGCCTGAAAATCTTGTGCTTGGGATGCCACCCTCTCCCCGAAGAGGTGCATTTTGAGACCACATCTCTCTTTGCCACAGCATTGTCCCCCCTCATTTGGGAACCCAGGGGACAGCTGCCCACCAAAAGGCTCCTGGACCTCACAGGAATATTAACTGAATATTCTGTTAATAGGCTGAACTATGACTTGATTTCTCCAGGTGCAAGTTCTGATGAACTGGGCCTAAGCTGTGAACACCCAGACCACTTTCAGTTGTGAAAAAGCCCCTCAGAAGGAAATATTTTATCAGGCTTCCCCAAGACCTGAAAATCAAAGGGAGGAGGGGGACAGGCAGCACCATGCCAGAGGACACTGGCAGCCGCTGTGCACCCTGAAAAAAGTAACTCAAAAGACCTGCAGGGTTTGCTCCTTCCCCATAGCCACCGCACGTGCCTGATGATGGCCACAGGCATGAACCTGATCTGGAGGATAGCAGTGGTCACAGTAAAAATTTCTTTTAATTTCAGAGTATTTTATGTTTTCTCCAAAAATTAATATAGTTTCAACTGTACATTAGGGCCCAAAGAGAACCTTGCATCAGAGCTGATTTACTGCAAGCATTTTATTTGTGTATATATATACAAACAGGTGTGTTTGTGTATTTTTTTTTCCTGCTGTGGTGCTGAGGAAGTGGTTTAATTTAGAGAAAACTCTTCCAAGAAATTTTTTGGCCTGTTAGGAATAGGCAAGAAAAGTCAAAGAGTTCAATGTGACTTTTATGCCTCATTTTCTTTTTAAAATTTAGTTAGATCTCCTCTTTGATGCTGTCTTGTAGATCAAAAGGCTCATCTGCTGGGAAAACTCTACTTGTTTTCCAAGGGGTGCTTCTGGCTGGTATTTGGGGAATCATAAGAAGTCTTTAGTACATTAGCACTAAGGAAAAGAGTTGTCAATCCAGTAAAAAGAGGCTTTCATGGCTTGCTGCTGTCTTGCTCTTTTGGAAAAATACATCACTGTGCTCCGAGAAGTACTGCTGATAAAAGCTTCTGCAACATGTTGAACATGTAAGTTTTCATCTTTTCCTTGTGCTTTGAGCTCTCGTCCATTTAATTCATGTTCTGCCTCTCCATCCATTCCCATGAGCTCAAATGTGAAGTCAGGCAGAAGCTGGGACCAACATTAAATGCTTGTATGAGGTGCTGCAAGGAGGTCCTCCCTGGGGCACAACAGTGCTGCAGTGCAACCTTTGGGAATGGGGCACAGCACGGCTGCATTACATGGAAGGGTCCACAGAAAAAAGAATCTCTGAGCTTACACCAACAGCTTGTCTTTGCCTTCACCAGACTTATTCCCTGTGTCCATCTGTAAAAACACCACAGAGCCCTCTTTCCTCCCACATTTAATTAGCAATCAGCAAGAGCGTCGTTATGACCATGGTAGTATGAAGAGGTAAGTGGAACAAGGTTGTCACAGAGGAATAATGCCATTTAGAGAGCAACTGATAACAGGTTTCAGTTTTAAAAGTTGCCATGAAACAGAAGGATTTATTTTAAAAGATGACACTACAAATGGAAAAAAAAATATTGCCACAAGCTTTTAGATTTTATTTAGGGTATTTTCTAATTTGCTTTCTTTTATTACCTGTGTTATTTAATACGTATTTCTATAAAATCCAGAATCTCATCTGCTGCAAAACTAATTTGCTAGGGAAAGCATGTTTGGGTTGAAAAATTTGAACCAGCCTATACCAAATTTTGGGAAAAAAACAGTCAGTGTATTGCTGAATAAAAATATGCTTATGTTTTCACGTGCTCTTAATATCAATGAATGTCACAGGTGAAGAATTTCAGAGCTGCACAATGACAGTCTGCTATTCAGCTGGGTGCAGGCTGCATCTCTTCTCCTTCCTTCTCTCACATTGCCCACTAAAGCTGATGATCCCATTATTGGTGGGTGCAATGTAGTTTGGATGCAGCCTGAGCAAGTTGGAGTTCATTGGTCCACTTCTGTGTTCTTTGGCTGCTCCTGGGAGCAAGCAGTAGGACAGTCTTACAGCACACCAGAAGCTCAGCGTAGCATCCATGGGTTGTCTGGGAATGGCTCAGTGTGATGCTTTTGGTGACCTTTGGGTAAGGTGTGAAGAGAGCTTGTTTGAGCAACAGTCCTGGCCTTTTGCTTCTGGTTTCTCCACTGTCTTCTGGTTATAGAGCAGGTAAAGACAATTTGGATGGTAGATGGTGAAGGGGAATCTGCTCCTTCCCTCCACCGTAGCAAGGACACAACAGCAGCATCTATAACACACTGCTCTTAACATCTCTGGCAGGCACACCCTATAGCTCAGCTTGGGAAAACACACAGGAGACAAATGCTGTTGGCGTGGCATTGGCATCACTTCCAGAGTGGTAGTTTCCAAAGAACTCCATGTGAAAAGTTGTCCTCACCCTCTTTTGGATTGTGCCCCCATGCCACACGAGAAGGGATACACCTGGTGTCATTCAGGCAGCGAAGGAACCAGAGCTGTCTTTTGGCACTACCCACCAAACCTGTAACTGGGAAATGTGGTGGGGTGAGCAGCCACCATCCCCGCCATCACCTCTCCATCCCAGCCCTGCAGGACAGATACAACCTTCACAGGGTTTAGTAACCAGTTTATTTTATTTAGCATTTACCTTTTTATTTTTCTCCCCCAGTTTGAATTTTCTCTGTTCATCCATGGTTCTTTTAGGGAAGGACCTGGGTGCAGTAATTTTTAACGTTTCCCTGAACAAAATTAAATCCAAAAATCTGCTCTGCAGAGCACAGAGCATCTCAGTGTCCTGTGTTTGGGCAGTGCAGAGCATGGGGGGGCCCTGGCCTCCAGCCTGGTCAATACAAATAAATAATATGAAGCCCTGGAATGACTCATTTGTTGGGAGCACACCTGCATAACCCATCCCACAGCTGTGGGGCTGGAAAGGCAAATAAAACAGCTGTAACCCAAGCCTGGAGGGTGCTGGGGACTCAGGGGGAGGGAAGCTGGTCTTTCAAACTGCTTGTAACCCAAGGAAGAAAATCATCAGCCTATATGCCTTTCACGGCATTTGATGACAAAATGGTTTGTGGCTTAGCCATTGTTTGAGGGCCATTCCTCAAATTCCTTGTTTACTGTCAGCAGGGTGAGTTGTGGACTCTGTGACTTTAGCTGTTAATGGGCCTAAACACTTCTGCCAACAGATTAAGCTTTGCTGAAACATTAAGAAAATTGGCCCAAACAGAGGTAGGGAGGATTCTTGTTTAGCTGTTGTTTCATTTGCATGAGAATCATTGTCTCCAAACAATAGCATTTCCATATTGCCCAAAGAGCAGGTAACTGGGTGAAACTCATTCAATTTATGTTAAATGACATAAATTGTTTGTTTGTTTGTTTCTAGAGAGAAAGAAAAAATGCTCATTTTCAGCTGCAAGGATGAGTAGATCAGAAGTGAAATCCAACCCCCAAATACCTCCAGCTCCTGAAGGACTGGGAGCTAACAGGCTGGGATGATGCTGAAAGAAAACAAGAAAATTGACAGTCCTAAGTGTGCTTAAACCAACTGCTGGCTGTGGAAGAAGAACAAGCAAAAATTGTCAATTTGTCCTTTGTTCATTTGTTCATTGAAGAACAAGTTTATTTTTTTTTTAAGAAAAAAAAAAAAAAAGGAGAGAGAGAACGAGAAAGATGTGCTTATGCTATGACTCACACTGCTGAATTTCCCAGGTGATCCATTTCCTCCTGTTGTTTCCATAAATGCTGCCCTACCAGGTACTGCCACTGCCTGAATTTCTCCTGGGTTTGCTGTTCAGGAGAGGGTTGGTTTGGTGCTCAGGCAGCGTGTTTTCTTTCTCTCTGTTGTTAAAAATAATAGCCTGGCTCCTACGACTATTATTTGAATTATAGCAGCACCTGGAGTCATCAGCCAAGATTGCAGCCCCCTTGAAGGAGGCAACAGCCAAAAAAATAGCAAGGTGGCTCCCCGGCGAGCTCCCAGTCCCCATGGGCATGGCCAGCAGAGAAGGAGCACTGTGGGGACACAGAAGGGTGGCTCCAGGCCAACACCAAGCCTGGGGCAGATGGAAAAAAAGCTGGAAGCTTCCCCAAGGTCAGGCAAATCTCTGCCCCAGGTGAGTGTTTGTGGTCAAACTGCATGCTCCAAGCCAACACCTACCATGTGTTGCTGTAAGGAAGGGTAGATCAGCTCGATGCCTTGGACCCAATTTTATCACTGATTAGCACCATGAGATTTACTTAAATCACCATCCGGCATTTCCTTGCTTTGGGAGATCCTGCTGTTTTCTTTATTTTCTTTTTCTTCTAGACCTAATGCTTTTGGCCATCGCTGCTGTTATTGGCGATTACCTGTGGCTGCTTTAAATGCCACCGGATGCGAGGGGATGTTTACATTTCCCCAATTACATTGTCTTTGAACGGTTCTAAACTTGACTTTGATTAAACATGCTAATAACAAGAGAGGTCCCTTTTTTTTTTTTTTATGAATGTCACTTGCTTGAGTTGAAAAGACATGCTCTTAATACTCGCTTTTCATCTAAATCAAGAAAGCAACACTAAGCAAAAAAGTATTTAACTGTAGCATATAGGATTGTAAAGATGGTAATCAGGGACACTGGTAATTGAAGCTTTTGGGGGAGAACCTTTCTTCTGAATCCTTCAGTCTGTTTAATAGGATAAAATTAGCTTGAGTGGCTTGGTGTTTGAAGAGGTTATGATATAATTGGAGCTGCCTCCTGGGTTTGCTGCTGGACAAGGCGATCAGGTGGAGACATGGGAGGGCATGGGAACCTCTGAAGTACAAGACTCAGCTTCTGCCATACTAATTAGCCTAAATTAGCTATGCCAGTTTTCTGCTTGCTTTTGAATTTCCCTGATAATGCTTTTATCAGGAGTGTAAGAAAAGGAATATGAAAACGCGCACAAAGTTCACTGCGGAATGGCAAAAGCGGTGGCGACTGCCGATGTAAGTCACAGGCTTATTGCTGCAAGCTTCAAAAAAAAAATAAAAAACAGGGAAAAAAAAAAGATTGAATAGCATTAGGAAATAACAAATGGATATCAAGTACAACCCCTAGGGATTTAGAAAGTACTATGGCTTGCGCTCTTGAACACGAAAGTTTACAAAGCATCTGTAAGAAATTGATTATCTTGAGGATTATATACATATTACTTTGAGGCCAAGCCCGCCCCCCAACACCCAGCTTTGCTCTTGAGTGTCTAACCCAAGGTGAAGGAGGCAGGTCCTCCTCGAGGCCGAACCACCTCAGGCATCCCATTTTGTGCTCCATCATCTGCAAGGCCCGGGAGAAGCTATTTGTATTTTGTTAGCTGTTGCCATTTTTTAATTTTCACTTCCGACCCCAATTAATCAACTTTAACCATGCAAAGAGATTTGTGGCATGTTCAGTATAGCTTGCACAAATCTATTTTAATTGAAAATGTGCGAGGGCGAAAGAAAATAAGGAGGGCTTGTTGGTTTTCTTTCTATCCTGGAAGGGGTGATTCTGTTGCCAGTGGACAAAACAAGTCAGGAGAGCACTTCACCTTTGAAAGGCATGTTAGGATGCACTTTTACAGGCAAAGAGATCTCTATGCTTGGGGAAAACTTGAGGCTCTGGGGAGCTACAGATTTTTCTTTCACAAAATGCATCAGCCTTGATCTGGAAACAGTCATATGGGGCCAGCTTTGCCCATGTCTCTAATTGCACATGTAGACATTGGACACGCATAAAGCTCAACCAACTGCTGAGCCCCATCAACAACTCGTTGCAGGAGCAAGCCTCATGTCAGCAGTCTGCTCTGCTAATCACTGCTGGGGTCCATTGGCTCTCAGATGCCTCCAGTAGCTGGATGAGAGGGTGGAGAGAGGTCCCAGGAGGTCTTCTGGACTAGCTCTGAGGGCCTTCTCGTTCAAGAGCTCTTGGGCAGGAGTTATGTTTCCCATCAGCCCTTCTTCCATCCACTGCCATTGACTTCTCCCCATCAGGCTGTCCTAAGAAAGTTTTAAAAAGAGCTGTGTAAATTTAGAATTGAATTCTGACCTCATTTAAGAACCGAATTTGCAGGACTCACCCATCTTTGGCTTGGTCATGGCTTTCTACCACATCTCCTGGATTATCTCAGAGGCCATTAAATACATTTGCAATGACTTCATACTTTGAGATACAATGGTAAAGGTAACAAAGTAGTGAGCTGGTCTAAAGGACCATTTGGATAGGGGTGACTTGTTCTCCAGAGCACAATTTGTAGTAAAACTAAATTTATTTAGATACAGTCTGCATCTCAGTACTAGAAAACCAACCTGAGGACATTGCAATGTTACTGTTCATCACTGTCTGCTTTCCATGGAAAATCAATAGGGATATCAGGGTTTTAAAAGTCTACTAAGCCATTTTATTGTATTTTACCTTATTCTATCTGGGGAGGGAAGTGGTTGAGCTTGCATTTGCAGCCTCTGCTTGAGAGTAAATTTGAAGGACCTAAGAAAATAAGTTTTCTTTACTGTCCCCTTCGTTCCCATGTACAGGATACCTGCAAGTGGGCCCCCCTCTTAGCCGGGGGATCTGATCAGTGCAAATACTGTTCAGATTCTGCTTTTTTTGGTGGGCAATGAATCATTCAGGGAAAGAGATCAAATCTTGTCTTCTCCTCTTCAGACTCCTGCACTCTCACAGCACTTCTCCTGGCTTTTTATCAGGTGCAAACACCTGGGTCCTGTAAGCCCTTCAGCTCTGGCACACACACTTTATATATTCATTCGAGTGCCTGCACACAGACAAGTGTTCGAACAGCTTCATCTCCATCCCCACAGGCCCCAAGGCACAACGCTAGGTATAGCCTGTTCAGCTCCTCCACGTGCTGTACTGAGGTCTGGATCCTGCAAATGCTTCTTCACACGAATAGCATTACTCCTGTGACCAAGTCGTCTCAACACAGATCTTGCAGTAGTGGATTTATATCAGTCCACTCAGTATCTTTACATTCACAGGGTTTTCTTGGCTTACTGGCTCCTCCAACTGCAGAATAAATACAGTGAAATTGTTTTTAAAATCACCTCAGTTCAAAGTACGGGTTCTTAAGCTTGCTGCTCTAAACTCCACGAGGAAAGTATAGTGCTCTTGCAAAGTATTATGCTTAGATTAGAGCTTTGAGAGTTGAGAGGACTTGTTTTTAATTAGAGAAATCAGAACCAGGAGCTCTTCTGCCAGACTCTCCTCTTTGGAGCACTACCCTGGTTTGACAGAAATATTTAATGGGTAGAAACCATGAGGCAAACTCTCAAATGAAAGCTGAAGAAGGGACCTCAAGCTGTTGTCCTTGAAACCAGTGAAGAATTTCTCCTTGACTTCATGGGGCAAAGAATCAAGAGTAGCCCAAGTCCAGACATTGTTGTTCTGCAGCAAACAGTTCCTGTTCAGAAAGGACATCCTGTCCCACAAAGATGTGCAGCATGGAAAAAGCTTGGAAAAGAATAGCCCAAACACCCATCAGAGCCAGCACAAAGCCTTTCAGTAGTCCCAGTGCAACAGGAGTCAGTGCTCAGACCCCTGACCACACTAAGGTCTGCAGCAGATCTAGGAAAAATGTGGCTGAGCACAATGCAGAGCTGACTTCTTTACTCTTGTGCTTGCCTAGGAGAGACACGAGCTGCAGAGCATGAACCAGCTCTTCAGGCGAGCTCCCTTTCTGTGTTGGCAGTGCCTCCAGCTCCTCTGACAAGAGAAAACCATTTTTGCTGTGACTTTAAGGACCTTTTCTTGCTTGTCCTTGCAATGACTTCTGCAAGGCAGATCTGCTTCTGTTCAGGCAACATGATACACAACCAAGTAATAGTCACTTAGCAGGTTTTATCTACCTGAAGGCAAATCAAAATCACCCCCCAAACCTGGCAGGTGGGTCACCTGCCTGATGTCTGATCTGCAAAGGGCATGCCTTTGCCTGGGATGTCCCAGGAGCGTAATGATGTCAAGTTAGGATTTTTCTGGAAAACAGGAAAAAAAAAAAAGGGAGAGAAAAAAATAATCAAGACCTTTCTGGCTTATGACACCCATGTTCTTTGGAACCAGTCCTGAAGACCAGACCATAGCTGCAGAAGGGCAGAACATAGGGCTCTGCCTGGCAGCCACAGCAGCTTCCCCTCCTCCTGGAGGAGATGCCCCAGACCCAACCTTCTCTTCTCTCAACCTCCAATAAGACAAAGCCAGATGAAGCTGGTTTCCATCTTACACAAGGAGTCTGATGGCTCATGCCCCTGGCTGCTCACTATCATTTCACCCAAGGCCTTTGAGAGGCAGAGGTGATGCACCACCCTGCTGCAAATTGCTCCCTGCTCCTTCCAGGAACAAGAGGTTTCATTCACAGTGCACCAAACCTGTTGGGTTGGGTGGGGAGAAAAATCCCCTCTGCTTAAAGCAAGTCCCCCAGGTCTCTAAGAATTAAGCCATAGCAGTCCTGAAGTGTCTGCTGTACCCAAGAAGCTTTCAGCTGAGCCTAGCGTGAGGGAGGGCTGTCTCAGGGAGTGCTGGCGATGAGAGTCTCTCTTTGGCTCCATCAGGCAATCCTGCAAACAAGTCATGTCTCATAGAAGAGGAAAAATCTATTTTAAAGCTCTCTCTTTTTCTGTGTGGGTGCTTATCTCTGGTCACTGCTGTTCACCACGTAGAGAAGTCTCTGTGGCACGCATTTCTAAGAGGGCAAACTGCCTAAAATTAGCTGTTAGTTTAAAATAAGAGACTGTACAGTTCTCCAGGGAGGGGCATTCATCCTCCAAAGGAAACTGTCAAGGATTGTTCAGGATTACTCTCCAGCTGTTCAGAACTGCTGCATCCTTTTAAATTATAATGTCAACATGTCGCAAATAATATGGAATGACAATGTCTAATTTCTGTCCTGTGAGAAATGAAAAGGAAGGAAAATTGCTAGCATACTAGATACATAGCAGATTTCAGAGATCATGTAACCTTTCTAGATGGCTGTAGGAGAA